TTAATCTCTCCCTGCCTACTGCCTGCTTCCTTACTACCTCAAAAATGCCCATGTTTTTCCTATCTTCAAAAAAACTGATACTTGGTCTGACCATCTCCACTAGCTATCATCCTATATCTCACATTCCTTTCATGGTTACATTCCATGAGAAGGCAGTCTACAATCAAAACCTCCACATCTTTTCTTCTGACTCTCTTCTTAACCTTTCTACATTCTGGCTTCATTCAACTGAAACTGTTCTTTTCATTTAACAGTGTTCTCTTAAACGCCAAATCTAACGGCCTCTTCTCAATTCTCATCCTTCTTGATCTATGTCCAATCTTTGATATTGTCAATCTCCTTCTCCTTGAAACCCTCTTCTCTCTAGGGGTGTGTGTGTGTGTGTGTGTGTGTGTGTGTGTGTGTGTGTGTGTGTGTGTGATACCCTTCTCTCCTGGTTCTCCTCCTACTTGAAGTTTTTTTTTTGTCTCCTTTGCTGTATCTTCATCCAAATCATGTCCACTAACCATGGGGGCTCCCAAAGGCTCTGTCCTGAACCACCTTCTCTTCTCTCTCTGTACAATTTCACTTGGTAATCTCAATAGCTCACTTGGTTTCAATTATCATCTTTATGCAGATGATTCTCACATCCACTTGTCCAAAACCTAACCTTTCATGACTTCCAGTTTCACATCTCCAATTTCTTATTGGATATTTTGAAGTGTACATCTCTTAGACATTTCACATTCAACATATCCAGAACCAAATTCATTATCTTCCCACTCCTCCTACCCCTTCCCCTTTCCTGTCCCTAACTTTCTTACTGCTTTCAAGGGTACCACCATCTGTCCAGTTGCCATGGCTTGCAACCTAAATATCATTCTTAACTCCTCATTCTCTCCTTCTTTCTCACCTCTCCATATCCAATCTGTTGCCAATTTCTGATGATTCTACATTTGTAATGTATCTCATGTATGTTCCTTTCCTTTTTCTGACACTGCCGCCAGCAGTGTCCAGGTCCTTATCACCTCATACCTGGACTATTGCAATTATAGCCTGCTGGTTGGTCTCCCTGGTCTCTGCATTCCAGTCCATTCTCTACTCAGTTTTCAAACTGCTCTTCCTAAAGCAAAGGTCTGACAAGTGGCTCCCTATTACCTCCAGGATTAAAAATCAAATCCTCTGGGCTTTAAAGCCTTTCACAATCTGAGCCCTTCCTACCATTCCAGTCTTCTTACACCTTACCCCACCCTCCATGTACTATGTGATTCATTGACATTGGCCTCCTTGCTGTTCTTTGTACAGAATACTTCATCTCTGGATTCCAAGCATTTGCACTAGCTGTCTCTCATATATGAAATACTCTCTCTCCTTAAAATCCCATCTAAAATCCTACCTTCCGCAGGAAACCTTTCCCAATCACTGTTTTAATGCTAGCAACTTTCCTCTGTGATTATCTCCAGTTCGTCCTACATATATCTTGTTTGTACATTGTTTGCATGTTGTCTCTCATATTAGACCTGGAGTTCCTTGAGGGCAGACTGTTTCTTGCCTTTCTTGGTATCCCAATGCTTATTTGAACCCACTACATAGTAAATGCTTAATAAATGTTTGTTGGGGGCAGCTAGGTGGCACAGTGGATAGAGCACTGGCCCTGAAGTCAGGAGGACCTGAGTTCAAATCCAGCCTCAGACCAAACACTTGACACTTACTAGCTGTGTGACCCTGGGCAAGTCACAACCTCAATTGCCTTAAAAAAAAAGTTTGTTAACTGACTGAGTTGACTGCCATTGACTTGGAGGCATGAAGACCTACCTCGGTTTGAATCCCATCTCCAACACATTGGCCATGGGCCATTCTGACCAGAATTTCTTCATTTGGAAAATGAAGATGACACCTATAGATGACACTCTCCAAAGAAAATGACACTTACCAAACAGGGCTGTTGTGAAGTGCAAATGAGATAATGCCTAGAAAGAAATGCTTTGCAAATCTTAAAGCATTATTTCAATTACTGCTACTACTATAGCACTCCCTTGCCCCAAAATGCTTCAGTGGCTCCCATTACTGACAGGATAAAATACCAACTCTGCCTAGAATTATAGGTTCTCTGCAATGTACCAAAACCTACATTCCCAGACTTATTTAAACTAGTTTCCTTCATATGCTCCAGCCAAACTAGAATAGTAGCTGTTGCCTGATTTAATTTTCTCTTGCCTTTTACTAAACATGTCATCCCTAAAACCTGGAATAAATCCTTTTCCCACTTCCCCACCATCTCTGCCTGTTGAAATCCTTTTTTTTCCCCTCAAGATCCAAATGAGATGCCTCTTGAATTCACCTTCACTGATTCCTTCCCCCCTCCTAAAGTGATCTCTTCTTTTTCAACTTTCTCACTTCACTGTTTGAGCTCTTCTGTTCACTTTATCATAAATTGTATTATAGTTATTTGTGTAAATATCTCATTCCATTGCCACTTGATCATATGCTCATTGAAAACAGGCACTAAGCACTTAATAAAATTTTGTTGAATTGAAATCATTTGCCATTACTCATTCCTTGGGGCTTCTGTTGGCAGTAGAATAGTGGACTAGATGGACCACAAGTCTGACCTAGAATCTGTAACTCCTCTCTTACCAAATGAAATTCATCATCTTTCCCCTTAAACCAAACCTCTTCTAAAATTCCTCATTTCTGTCAAAACATCACCATTTTTTCTTCTAATCATTTAGGGTCTCCACAAATGTGATCATATCACATCCCTATTTAGGAATCTTCCATGACTCCCTACTGCCTCTAGGATAAAATCAAAACTCCTGAGCTTGGCATTACAATCTGGCTCCAATTGATCATTCCAGGCGCATTGTACATCACTCCCTTTCCAGCCAAACTGGCCTTGCTCTTCCCTGAATTTAGCAATACAAACATAGGCTTCTGTGTTTTTGTGAAAGCTATTTCCTATGCTTGGCATTCATTCCCTCATCTTCACCTCTTAGAATTTCTAATTTCCTTCAAGACTTGGTCTAAGTGCCACCTCCTATGGGAAGCTTTTCCTTCTCTCTCTCTGTCTCTCTCCCCCTCTCCCTCTCATTCTTCCCTTCCCTCCCCTTCTCTTCGAAATATATACACATACATATCAATTTACATGCTGTATCCCCATTGTGGAATGTAAACTCCTTTATTGGCAGAACAATTTTCCCTTTGCTTTTTTCTTTGCTTTGTCTTCTTGTCACCTGGCAGTGCACTGAACAGGTTTTTGTTTTTGATTTTTTGCCAGACCAGCAATTTCAATGGTTTAGGGAATTCCAGTGAAGAAACTCCCCCGACCACCGCAAATCAGCAACTAACCATTCTGAAAACTTTGTGTCTAAGAGTTGCCTAGAGTAGAGCATTGAAAGGTTAAGTGACTGTCCAAGGGCCATACAGCTAGTATATGTGAGAGGAGGAACCTGAACCCAGGTTTTCCTGATCTCTAAGGCCATATTTTTTTAAAAAGGTGCTTAATTTTTGTTGGTTTGGATTAGATTCCCCAAAGGAGCCGCTTTCTGTTATTCGAAGATGGATGTATGTAGTGCTGAGGTTTTAAATACGGGGTCTGTGAACTTAAAAAAATAATAATTTCGATATTTATTTCAATATAATTATTTTCGTTTGCAATCCTGTTTTATTTTACGCATTTCAGAACTTTATTCTGAAAAAAAGGTTCATAGGTTTCACCATATGTAAATGGGGTCCACCACAGACACACACAAGGTTAAGAATCCCTGGTACAACGGAAAGAAGACTAAATTTAAAAGTCAGAAGCTTTGGGTTTTAGTTTTGCCTGTCACTAGCTACACCACCTAAGGCAAATCACTTAAACTTTGAGTCAGTTTTTTTTTTCATCTGTTAAATGGGAACACTTCCTCAAAAGGTCTTTATGGATTGCTTTAATGGATTGCAAAAAGAAAAACGGTGGATTAGAGAGTTAGGCAAATCACTTAATCTCCTAGCCTCAGTTTCTTTCACCTTTTAAATGAGGACGCTTGAACTACCTTCCTCAAAGGGTCAGTATAGTTTACCTTGGGTTTAAAAGACACAAAAGCAGGGGGTTAGAGTCCCAGCTCATGTAATCTTTGAACGTGTTTCTTTCACTTGCAAGGAGTGCACTTGCACTACGCTACTTCTTTTGGAGAATTAAAAAGAGAAAATGTACACGAATTCTCTTTGTAACTGTCAATGTAAGCTATTGTTATTTAAAATGAGGAGGGGGCGCGAAGAGACAAGCTATTCTATTTTTAAGTAGGAAAAGAGGTCTGCAACTAAGAATTCATTAATGCATTCACGGTAAATGCTTACTAAGCGCCCATCTCAGGGAACAAAGAGTCCAAAAAAACCCTAAAGTACCTGCCCTCAAGGAGCTTACTTAATTGCAGAAATTTTTAAAAAGGAACCTTTAAGCTTACCCTAAGTGAATTCTTAACCTCCCCGGACCTCGGTTTGTAAAATGAGTGGGGAGGACTAGCCCGCATTTGGGAACCTTTTCAGGTCTAGAGTTATGATCTATATTCTGAGGCCTTTGAGACGCAGGTATAAAAATCTGATGCTTTTTCAAGAAGAAACCTGGATTTAGAGATCAGAGGACTGATTGACCACAAGCAGGCCTGGGGCTAAGAGCAAAGGAGAAGACGGGAGACCCGTCTTTTGCGAAGCAACGAGCGTTTTCCCTGAGTCATGAGGATAGCGCTTTAGGAAGTGGAGGCCGTGCACTCTGTTCCGAAACAACAGCAACAAAAAAAGACGGTTGGTCGGCGAGGTCAGAGCCGAGCGCCACCCTACACCGCAAGCTCCCGGACCGCCGAGCAATAACAGCACGAGCTCCGCCGCCGGCACTATTGTGTTAGTGCCGGCGGCGGAAGAATCCCACTTCCGTCGACCGAGAAGTTAAAAGAGTCCTCCTTTGTTCACCCACGGCCGGAGCCGAAGGGCACCCTATCCTTCCGCGTCCGCCTTGCAGACTCCGCCCCCTCGCAGCCTTGGAGAGCTGCCATTCGGCGCAAGGAGGCTTTCGAGCTCCCACAATGCACCGGCACTCCGCGGGAAACCAAAATGGCGAAGGGCCGTAGCGAAGCGGGGTTGTGTTGGAGGCGGGTGTGAGAACCCCCCCCCTCCTCCGTCCCCGTCCCCCTCAACCTTCCTCTCAAACCTCACTCCTTAGGACCTCGGCGTGTGTTTTCTTGTGTGTGCAGCCCGGTGTGGCGGGTGCCTGGCGAGGGCGCAGAGTCTGGGGGGGGGGAAACGCCCAGGGGGACGTGATTTTATTTTACTTTTTATTTTTTAATTTTTTAATTTTTATTTTTATTTTTTCCTGTATGAAGCTATTGGCACCACTGAAGTGACCGAATGAGGTGAGAAACTTTGGACTGGGACCCGGCGCTTCCGGGGCACGGAGGACGGGTAGGGGGGAGGGGAGAGCTAGATAAAGGGGGAAAGATGGACGCTGGGGGGGGGAAGCTGGTGCTCAAGGTTGGAGGAGTGCGAAGAGGGTGGGTGGAAAAGCGCTGGGTGCGAGGGGGGGCTCTGGAGGAAACCATGGCGGGGTGGGGGGGTCGGGTTAGGGTCGAGCGACTGGAGGGCAGGAAGGAACCTGGGGGCGTGAGACGGTTGGAGGGGCAGGATGAAACCTGGTGACGAGGAGTCGGGGGGAAGGGTAGTTTGCCACCCCAGGTGGGGGTGCTGTGGGGAACAGAGTAAACGGACAGGAAGGGACCTGGGGAGTGCGGAAAGTGAAGGTAGACAAGAGGAACAAGAAAGAATTGGGGTGTTGGAGGTGGGGGAGGGCAGGCAGCAAAGACGATGGGGGAAAAAGCAGGTCCCAGAGGAACGGGGGTGAGGGTGGGGGGGGGCAGGGGGAAGGACACAAGACTAAGTGAGGGAAAGGATGGGACTTACGGAGTTTCCTTGACTCGATTTCCTTAAACCTGGTGTTTCCATATATTCTTGGTAGGCAGAAATTGTGCATTACTGCCCAGATGGATTTCGGGGGTGGGTTTTTAGAACTGAGGATGTCAACGATTTAAGGAAATTTCAGCCGTAAACCCCAAATCCTTAAGTAAATCATTGGCAGAACCAGGCAATGAAACCTCAGGTCTCTTGGTTTCCAGTCTAGTGTTCTTGGTCAGGAAATTTGGCTTTTGCAGTTCGAAGTGGGCATTCGGTAATATTGGGGGTAATTAGAAGAATGAGGTGGGAACAATGGGAAGGACGGTATGTTTGGGTATGAGAAATTTGGCTTTGGTTACTCCATTAGAGATCGTCTGACTAAATTAGGAAAATAGAGATATTCTTATGCATTAAACAGTGGAGCACAAAATGTGAGGTCAGTATATAGTTAGAAATATGTAAATATTGTCTAATATTACTTTACTCCACATCCTTTAGTAGTAGCAGAAGCTTTTCCCTTTAGATTGATTCCATGTGACCTTCTTGTTTAGGTTGTTTACATACTGGTTTTAATTTTCATGTTTTTATTACTAGCTCCAAATACTTTGTTTAGCAGATTGCAAAAGAGAAAAAAAATACATTTAAAATATCTGTTTTGGTTCCAATAAAATGCACATTATGTACTGTGTACTTTTTAAAAGGTTCTTAAATGGAACCACTTTGAGCGACAACTTTAAGAACCTTGTAGTTGTGGACAGAAAACACTTTCGCATTTCTGAATATAAAATATTCTATTCTCTGAGATTCGGAATATTGTGTGCATTGTACTTGGAAACACAACACAAGGTAAAAATTTCAGAACCTTAGAGTAAAAATGTTTGAAGTTAAATTTAATGATTCCTTTGCCTTCAGAAGGTTTTTTCAAAGTACTAAAAGCTACCTAAAACACTTCATTTGGTTATTCACCTGCTTCTTGACTTGTGTTCGTAAATGCTTTTAATATTAAAGGAAATTAGTAACATAAACTTGTTCTAATCCTGTTTCTGATACATACTGACTATGTGACCCTGGACAAGTCACTTAACCTCTCAGTGACCCTAGAAACTTTTCTAAGATACTAAGTTGCAAAACAGTTGCAGATGTTTTGGGTAGAGGGAGTTTTTTCATTGGAAGTACCTGTATCAATGAAATCACAGATCTAGACACTTCCCCTTCCCACCCTACACACCTTCAACTATATCTGTATAGACTCAAATCTAAAATTGTAAAACTAATGGGGACCTTAGGTGCACCATCTAGTTCAGCTCCCTTATTTTACAGATTTGGAAAACTGAATAACCTTAACAGCCTTCATTAAGTTAATACATCAGAAACTACATAGTCCTTCCCCCTCCCCCCAGGGATTGCTGTTCATATTTTTTATTCCCCTATGGTGTCTTGTAGATAATATACCCAACCAAATATTTGTGGACTGCAAGGACTGCCTTTATTAATATTTTGGGACAGGGTTTCACAGATGTGAATTCATTTGGTCTGACCATATAACTTTCATTTGAGATAGAGAGGGAACAGATAGTGATAATCCAGTTTAACAGAGAAATTAACTTTGTCACACTCTTTAAGCTAGCTAATAGTGGTGCTGGGAATAGGACTTTCCGAAAACTATCTTTGTGTCACTAATCTAGAATACTTCCCAAAGTAATATTTTTATGGATTTTCTCTTACTTGTTTTTAGGATAGATAATTTATTGAAAGAGAATACAGTATAAAAATTACTGGAATGTACTGTTGAAGAAAGATATGTCTCTATGGACTTGATACATATAGAAAAGTAAATTCATTCAATATTTTTTATTTTTTTATTTTTTGGCTAGGCAGTGGGGTTAAGTGACTTGTCCAGCATCACATAGCTAGTGTCAAGTGTCTGAGGTTGGATTTGAACTTAGGTACTCCTGACTCCAGGGCCAGTGCTCTATCCACTGCGCACCTAGCTGCCCCTCATTTAATGTTTTTTAATTAGACATTTTTTGTCCTTCCAATATTCTGTGTTTTCTGTCTTATCTGTCAAGATTAACAGACGGTAGACTATCGGAATAGCCACTTCTGGACCAGTAGAAAGCTACTTGTAAGATCTGCTGTGAGATTTTTCCTTTGGCAGAAAAAGAATTCAAGTTTGATTTTTCATTTCAAGAAATTTTTCTTTTTATTTTGTTAGTTTCCAAAAACTAGAACTGCTATCAACTTGAAAATCATGGCTATAAAGAGACATGTAGTGACAGGAACTGACTTAGCAATTTTCCTAAAGCACTATGCTTTCCTAAAGCACATTAATGGTGTTATTCCACTACCCAATAAACTCTAATGGCTCTCCATTACTTCTATAATAAAATATAAAGTCAAATGCAAATTATTCAATTTGTAATTTAAAGATCTTCCACCAACCTTGTTTATTTCTGCTGTTTGCAGCCTATTGTCCCCTCTCCTGAACTGCCTAAGGTCCTGAGAGAAGCTACCCTGAGGCCAGACCCCTTTGGACAATGAAAACCTACCTGGAACTCATTCTTTAAGAATGTACAAACTTTCATTTGGTCATATCTTCTCCATCCCAATGATTCTGAATTCCTGGGTGACATCTTTTAACCAAACCCCTGATCACTTGTTCCCATTACCTTCAAACCAGTCCTCCCCTCTACCTGCCATGTTCCCCCTCTGAAGCTGTCCACCCATTCTACTGTGCTTTCTGTAATGCCTATTATGCATGCAACAGGTTTGTTTTCATCTTAAATTTTTCCTTTCCCTTTCTTCCATCTTCTGGCTCTTATTGAGACCTGACCCAGTCTTCATGAGACAACCTCCCTGACTTCTCTTTTCCAGCCTTGGCTTTCACTCATCCCCCGCCAAGAGGTGGAGGAGTTGGAATACTTGTTGTTCCCCATTGTCACTTCAGGGTTCTCCCTCTACTACCACCACTCAGGAACCTCTGACACTGTTGATCACCATTTTCTCCTTTGTACTCTCTAGTTTTTGTTTTTGAGTTTCTTTGGTGATCCTGTTCTCTCTTGTTTCTCCTCCCACCAACCTGCCTGTTCCTTCAGAGTCTCATTTGCTGGTTCTTCATTCAAGTCAAGAGGGTGTCCCCCAAGGTTCTTCTGTCCTGGCCCCCCTTTTCTTCTCTGTCCCATTTCATTTTTTTTTTTACCCCATGGATTCAGTTGTCATTTCTATCCTGATGATTCTCATATCTACATATGTAGCCCTAACATCTCTGCTGACCTCTAGTGTTATATTTCAAATTGCCTATTAGATATATCAAACTAAACATGTCCAAAACTGAATTCGTTGTCTTCCTCTATTCCTTTACTTCCCAGTTACAGTTGAGGACACTGTCATCCTCCCAGTCCCTCCAGGCTTGCAACCTCATCCTCACCTCCTCACACTTACCTCCCCAAATCCAGTCTGCAGTCAAGTCCTATTGGCCTGCTGATTTTACTTTCCTGATATCTCTCATATATGCTTACTTCTCTCTTCTGACATTGGCACCAACCTGGTGCAGGCCTTCACTTTATTCCCAGATGATTGCAGTATCCTGCTCTTTGGTGTTCCTGACCATTTGAATCCATCCTCAACTGTCAGTGATTTTTCTAAAACCCAGGTCTAACCATGTCAGCTTTCCCTTTCACCACCCCACCACCCTCCATTCAGGTAATTCCTGTGGCTCCCTATCACCTCCAGGATCAGATATAAAATCCTCTGTTTGGCATTCAAAACCTTTCATAATTGACCTTCTCCCTCACGCCTTTCCAGTCTTATACCTTACATCCCCCAACCCCACCCCCACTTCTAACATCCAGTGACACTGGCTTCCTTGCTGTTCCTTGACTTGACATATCCAAATTGAGCATTTTCATTGGTTGTTTCCTGTGCCTGGATTGCTTTCCCTCATCTCTGCTTTCTGGCTTTCCTTTTTAAGTCTAAACTAAAATTTCACCATTTTACAGGAGTATTTCCCCATTCCTCTTAATTCTAGTCACTTCACTTGTTGATTATCTCCATTTTATCATATATGTATCTTTGTACATAGTTGTTTTCATTCTGTCTCCTCCATTATACTATGATCTCCCTAGCACTTAGCACAATATCTGGCACATAGTATTCACTAAGAAATGTTTATTAACTAACTTCCCTCTCATGTGCTCCATGCTTTGGGCAGAGCTGGCCTCCCTATTGTTCCTCATATATAGCGTTCCATTTCAGGTCTTGGTGACTATCCTTCAGGCTTGGAATATAGTTCGTCCTGGCCCCTTAGCATCTCCATTTTCCTTTAAGATGCAATTCATGTGCCACCCACATGAAGCCTTTCTGGATCTCTCCACTTTTTCCACAGCCACTACCTCTTGCTCAAAAAAGATTTAATTGTTTTGCATATAATAGGAGTCCCCAAAAGTCTTAGTGCAGTTTTAAGCTT